TTTAAAAAATAAAAAATAACATCCCATCTCCCCTCTTTCTCTCACACACACATACGACTTTTTCTCTCAACACAATACTCAAATCTTCTCAATCTCATCTTCTTCACAACCACCGTCATCTGTAAATCATCATCCTCAACCACCCAATCGACATTTTAGAATCACCCACAGATCAAGCTACATTCGACCGTATCCTTCACAACGCCTGAGGCCATAAATAGAAACCCAATGTCCATGATTTCTCTATTAACAAGCCCAACGAAACCATCATCGACCCTCTGTATGAGTTTCTACAATGGTGGAATAAACCCAGATCTTGGAATGACTTATCACATGCACATTTATGCTTCATTCATGAGTTCCTAATTCCACTAATTTACATATACCAGATTAAAAAGATTTGTTTTGAGTTTGAGTTTCAGATTCATGTTCCTTGCCTCTACCGACGACATCCCCTTTGCTCAACCTCCTAATGATCGATCCAAACAAAGATCAATTTTAGGAAATCGATCTGGTTAGCAATTGCGGAGAAGTGATGCGGGAGTGGTGCTAGCCCTTTCTTAATCCCATAATTCGTCTTTTTGATATATTTATCAGACACACAATGTGTGTGAGTTCCCTCCTGTTGTTCAAACATAGAGTAACACAAGATAAGTGCTTATGATTTTTTTTCATCTATTGCTCTTCCAGATGAAATTTTTGATCCTATTGGAAAAGAGATCAAAGAAACATATGAAATTTTGAGATAATTTGAAAGGGTTCTCGATTTCTGGAGTGTATGTACCTGTTTGTGTTTGAAGGCAAGAAATCAATTGTTATCCCCTGAATTTTGGAATTTGTGTATTAGCTATGAGATGAACATAAGATCTTCATCTTCATCTTTCCCCTGATTTCTTCATCTTCATCTGGTTCCCAGATCTTCATATTGTTCAGATGGTAATGGTGATATTCAATTTTTTAATAATAAGAATGATAAAGATGGGTTATATATATATATATATATATATATATATATATATATATATATATATATATATAGAGAGAGAGAGAGAGAGAGAGTACTGGTAGGGGTGGAGTGGGTGTGTATCTTTTTTGTTTTTTTACTTTTATTTCATAAATTATTAAATTAAATAAGAAAAGAAAATACAAAACTGAAATTAAAAGGGTAAATCGGTAATTTCAATTTTTTTTGGTCAAAAAACCCAGAAAAACTTTAATTTTGGACATTTTGTGCAGGTTGAAAACTTTTTGGACCACATCCAAAGTTTTTTACAAACCACAAGGACAAAGTTTGTAGTTTTGTCAACAAAAATCTATTGGAGTTTTCAGTTAATTTCGAGATTTGCCCACAATTAACAATTGTGACCATACTCCTTATTCCTTCTCGATCTGCTCTCAATAAACCTAACAACTAAGAACATCCACCCCTTGGCGCCATTGCTAGATCAATTGCCTCCTGCCGCGCCTCCTATGCTGTTTGCATAGATAAATATTTTTTTCTTTAATCTTTTTTCATATTTATTAACACTACCTAATATGTTTGGTTTGTGTGATTTTTCTCCATGCTTTGTACTTCTCTGGAATAAAATAAAAACCATGTTTCTCTTTTAAGAAAAAATATTTGGGAATATGACTTATCAAGGTAATTAACTTTTCGGTATGTTCATATCTGGGTAACTATCTTTTTTTTGTACATATGTAGGTAACAAACTTTTTGGAAGTGTTCACATATGACCATTATGACCTGCTATAGCAGGTTAAATCCTAGATGTGAACTCTTTCAACAAGTTTGTTACCTAGATGAGTACAAAAAAAATAGTTACCCAAATATGAACAAAATGAAAATTAAAAATTAAATTACATGAATGGTCCCTGTGGTTTGGGGGAATTTGTGGTTTTTGTCCCTAATTTATTTTTTTAACTTAAATGGTCCCTACTATTTATTTTTGTTGCGCGTTTGGTCCCCGTCTTACCTAAAAAATACTATTGTGCCCTTATTAATTTATTTTTTTAATTAATTTTCTTATCTATGTGTTTATTTTATACATATTTAAAAAAATTAATAGACCACACATATTTGTATCTCCTCGGATGATCTCTACTGTTTATTTTTAATTAATTTTTTTTTTAACTTGGATGATCCTTACTGTTTATTTTTGTTACGCGTTTGGTCTCTGTCTTATCTAAAAATACAATTTTTCCCTTATTAATTTTATAAATTAATTTTCTTATTTATGTATTTATTTTTTATAAAAAAAAATTAATATACCCCACATATATGTATCTTATCACCGTAAACCTGAAACCACATTTGAGAAATTTAATTTGAGTCTTACCATTCACCATCTCATCTCTGATCCTCCCTATTTTCTATTTCTTTTCCATCTTTAGTAACATCAACGTCTTCACCGTCCTTTTTTTTTTGGTACTTCAACTCTGGAGAACCAACACCATAACCTACTGTCTCTTCATATTTAGTGGGTTGTAGTGTTGTTTCGACGGAGTTGAAGGACCAAAAAAAGAAGTGATGATGAAGACGTCGATATCACTAAAGATGAAAAATAAATAGAAGTTGATAATGATGAAAGATGGGATGGTGAGGAGATACATATATGTGAGGTTTACTAATTTTTCTTAAACATATAAAGCATAAGTACATAAACAAGAAAATTAATTAAAAAAATTAATAAGGGCACAATAGTCTTTTTAGGTAAGACAGAGACCAAGTTCGTAACAAAATTAAATAGTAGAGACCATCCGAGTTAAAAATTTAAATTAATTAAAAAATAAATAGTAGGGATTATCCGAGGAGATACAAATATGTGTGGTATATTAATTTTTATAAATATGTAAAAAATAAACATAGATAAGAAAATTAATTAAAAAAATAAATTAATAAGGGCACAATAGTATTTTTAGGTAATATGGAGACCAAACGCGCAACAAAAATAAACAATAGGAACCATTTAAGTTTAAAAAAATAACTTAGAGACCAAAACCACAAATTCCCCCAAACTGCAGGGACCATTCATGTAATTTAATTTTTACTTTTCGTTTTGTTCATATTTGGGTAACTATTTTTTTTGTACACATCTAGGTAACAAACTTGTTGAAAGCGTTTACATTTAGGATTTAACCTGCTATAACAGGTCATAATGGTTATATGTGAACACTCCCAAAAAGTTTGTTACCTACATATGTACAAAAAAAGATAGTTACCCAAATATGAACATACCGAAAAGTTAATTACCTTGATAAGTCGTATTCCCAAAATATTTTGGACTTTGACTTTGTATTTGCTTGACGCTCTTTTATTATTTTAACCACGTGAAAAACTATAACTTTTGTCGTTGTTTTCTCATGTTACATTCACATAGGCTCTTTATTGTACAATAGAGTTGTTTTTCTAGGGTTTTTTTTTTTTTTTTTTAATTTTTTTTATGATGGTACATCAATAAATAATATTTCTAGATACAAAAGTTACTAAAAGATTGTTGGATGTTCCATATTAGCTCTAAGTGATAAAGCAAAATATGTGCATTTTATAAACAAATAAAAAAGTATATTCATTGTTATTCTATAGGCAAAATGGATAGCATTATATGTTTCTGTAAATTTTACCATGGATAGCTCTATACACTTTATTTGTTTTTGTGTTGTTGGTGTGCATTATACGTGTATAAATTTCAATATTTGTTGATTTAATTCAACTTTAGGTATATACATGGCCTCCAACAATGAAAATGCAAAAAAAAAAAAAAAAGCCTCCAATGAAAATGCAAAAAAAAAAAAAAAGTTTGGTTAGTCAGAAAAGCTTATTATGATTTTGTGTGATATCGAAAATATATTACCAAATATGGACATAGTTAGCCAATTAAATGACAATATTTTGAATGAATTTTTGAAAAAGATGCTGCTGCTATTAAGGAGTGTTTGGAATTGCTTTTAGAATCACTTTTAACTTTTAACTTTTTAAAAAAATTTAAAATATGATTGGATAATAGAAAAGTTCTTTTTAAAATGTTTTTTTTGTATAGAGTAAAATGAAAGGTTTTAACAAGTCACTGATTTTTTGTGATTTTACATATAAAAGTTAAGTTAAAAATCATTTTGTTAATCCAAATACTTTTTAAAGAGCTTTTTTTTTTTTTTTTTTTTTTTTTTTTTTTTACAAAAAGTCTTTTTACAAAAAATCCTTCTACAAAAAGAACTTTTGATGTTTAAAAGCAATCCCGAACATCTCCTAAGCTAAACAACTACAAAACTTTAAATAACATGTACAATGAAATGAAAAAAAAGACTATAATATGTGGAATGTATAATGAAATGAAAAAAAAGACTATAATATGTGGAATTCCTTAAAAAATGGGGAGACGGGCTTAGGTTGGAACAAAAGTACATAACAACTAAATCGTTCAAATGAATGTTGGGATGGAAAAATTAAGGTAGTAAGTTTAAATCATTTTTATTATCATAAACTTTAGAGTTATCTTGCACGCTAATAGTGAAATATTTTATCATTTTTATTACCATAACCTTTATGTTGCAATATAACTTTTGATTATTGTAATGGAACATAGTTACGTAAAGTTGCTAAATTTTAAGAATTCTTTTATTTATTTATTATGTTTCACAATTAACATTTAAACAAGTGCCCTTTTATGTAATTTTGGACATTTCAAAAGCTTCAAATTATTTCGGTCAAACACGCCTTTAACAAATAACAACTACAACTTCTAGGTACCTGCTACCAGCTACCAGCTTCCAGTTAGTTTTACCAAACACGTCCTAAACCTTTCTACGATGCACCAACGGTCGAGCTAATCGATATTGTATATGCAACTTATTTTTGTATTCAATTAATAATTTAAAACAATACAATATATATAACATCTTTATTTATTCTTCAAAGGATGCACACTCTTATTATTCCGAATCAACAAGTATGGTTCCACGAGTTATATCATCATACCCAAAAAAATGAAAAATAAAAATCAAATTTATAGTTGTCCAACTTGGTAAAAATGCTTCGCCTGTTTGGGCACAGGGGTCATTCCACCGAAATAAAAGTTGACTTTTTTATAAGGAGTCCTGAGTTGACCTTGACCATAACCAGTAATAGTTTCCACATTTCCATTATTAACCTCTTCAATCTCGTCTGACCGTTGGATTTCATCGCCTTTGATGTAATCCAGTGTGAACGCCACCTACAGCCAAACATTCAACAAAACTTTCAGAGTACAACTCGCATAGCTAAGCCAAAGTCTTATGTACAAGTCAGTTATGCATTTACCTCGTCCATTGGTAATCTTATATGTGGATCATCGCATATACAATTCACTGCGAGTTGTACTATACTCATGAATTGATCGTTGTGATACGCAATTCCAGGATCAATCAAATGAGAAAATTTCCTTTCCATTACAAGTGGAATAGCCTGAAACATAGAATAACGTACAAATCTTACTATTTTTAGTTGCATATTACAACAAAAATAACATTTAATATGAATAAAAGATACCCAATTTAGAAAATTTTGGCCTTTGAGTCTCGTATCTGTGGGACTTCGACCTGTAATAAGCTCCAATAAAACGATTCCAAATGCAAAAACATCTGTTTTCCTAGTGGCTTTTCCTCTTTCTGTATATTCTGGTGCCACGTAGCCGAATGTACCTATTATAAAGTGGTCATTTTGTGGCTCTTTTTCCATTCTTGCTAGCCCAAACCCTGCAATCTAAAATCGAGTTTTATACCATGTGCATTAGAAGTTGTACATTACACATCAACAATGCATTAGCAATTTAGCGTTACATAGCTTAACAAGAAGTCAACGACTTACTAGAGGTTCAAAGTCATGTGTCAAGAATATGTTCTTCGGCCTTACATCACCATGGATTATGTTATTCTCGTGTAAATGGCACAACCCTTTTGATGCACCAATCGCAATTTTTATCCTTTCACCCCACGTTAATGGTCTAGCGCTTTGATCTATTGTACCATATTACATATATATAAGCTCACAAAAATGACAAAATAGAAAGTTATTTATACAATAATAAGATCTTACGTGACAAATGTTGATCAAGTGAACCATTGCATGCGAACTCGAAGACAAGTAGTCTCACGTTTTTCTCCAAACAAGTTCCTAACAACATGATCACATTCTCATTTCTTGTTTTTTCAAGTGCTTGCATTTCCGACTTGTATTTTCTAACATCTTTTTGTTCTTTAACGATGACATTGAGTTTAGTGTCTTTCAAGGTTCCATAAAAAACGGCTTCGTTTTCACCTCGATAGATCAAAGTTTCAGATGAAAATCGGTTTGTGGCATCGATGAGCTCTGAATAGAGGAAGTTTCTAGTTTTCCACAAACTTGTTGGCCTTGTGCTGTTGCAAGTTGTACATTTCTTCTGATCAACTTGTACTATCGGCAGTGTTTCAATTTGAGGAGACTTCTCTTGTTCTTGTTCTTCTCCGAATGCTTCTAGAAGAGTTGATAGTTGTACTTTGTCGTCATTATTATTCCCGATGCTTAGTAAACCGTCACTAATGCTAGTTCTTGTGCTCGCGGAACTTGCATCTGTTTAATTAATTTCTTTGAATAAAAATCAATTATAGTTCTAAAAAATACGACAAAATTATTATTTATTTTTTATTACTAATATTTTAGGTCTTTTGGAAATATATACTTACGTGAGGAATCAAATTCGATGCTGAATAAATCTTCATCGTTTTGTGGTTGCTTAGTCGAAATTTTGTGGTCGACTGGTAACATATCGCCATATGACAGAGGCATCCTCGGACTTTGAGCCATTGACAACTTTGGTCCTCGTATTTTTATTATATCGTCATTGTGCTTCATTCTTGATATCCCACATGAAAGCTTCTCTAGGAAATACTTTCTGTCTCTCTTCATTCTCCTAATAAACGTTACCACTTCTAAATAATGAATCTTTTTGACACGATAAATCATGTGATTAACTTTTCAGATATTCATGATTTATTTTACATTAAAAAAGTTACCGATTTACCTATCAAGAATTATCCATGTTGCGTCAAATTTCTTGATTGCTTCTACGGCTGCCTTCTTGGGTATAGGCCCAGTCACCAATTCGATCTTGAAATTGATCTGAAAACATATGATACAATTTAATAATTCTCAAAGAAACAGCTTTTAATGAAAAGGACCAAATTACCCTTAGATTTACCTTTTGCATTTCATATAGTGTTGAGAGTTGAACAAGTTCCAAATTGTCCTCGTGCTCTTTCTTCTTCCTAGCAACTTCCTCATCGATAGCCTTTTGGTTTGCTCCTCCAAACATCGAACTATCCACTCGGATTTTGTAACCCACTACAAATACAATTACAAAGATTTGTAAAAGGGTATTTTAGTCTTTTTAACAAAATCCCAAAACCAGATAATTTACGAACATACTAGGATGGTGGATTTGATGAAGAACAGAAAGAAAAACAAACATATCCCCATCCTTCAATTCAAATCCATCAAGAATCCAACTAACAGCATTCATTCTGACACCTCCGGAGGCATCGTGAACCAACACCACCTTTTGACTCGAACTTTGACCTTCCATTGAAACCTTTCTATTTCTATGATTCTACTGTTCTACGACTACAGACTAATAATAATAAAAACAGCTAATGTGCAAGAAGTGAAACATAAGGTACAAGTCATAGATGCAATCTCCAATAAGGTGAGAGAAAAAAAGGAGAGAAAATAAACGAGTTCTTGTGGTTATAAATACTAACAGAATGGATGTTGGTGATTTCTGAGAACATGGTTATTGTTTGAATTAACGTTGGGTTTACCTAAGCTTTTTTCTTGTTAATCGTTTTGATTTTTGTTCTTAGGATACATAAAAATTTGTCTTTTTTATTTTATATGATTCCCTAGAGATAGGAGTCATCAAATATCACTATCAAACATGGTATAGTTTGGTAAGTATGTTTTTTGGTACTTTGTTAAGTTTGATTTTATATGCAAAATCAGACACGATGGCAAAAAATGTTGATCGTTTTCTTTGTAAATAGATAAAGTGATGATTTCTATTTTGACATCCCTTGTGATGTTCTATTTTTTGTTTTTATATATTTGATTTAAATGGATTAATAATTTAAAATGAATTAAGTATAAGATTGTCAATCACAAATGAAATTCGTTAAAAACTATAAAGCATATGCCTTACGAACATAGATACTTTTTTATTTGGCATAAAAAAACTAAATTAGTACTAGAGGAGTACAGGTGATCAGATGTGGGCCTAGATCGAGGAATTGGCCCTTGATCAGATGTGGGCCTGGACCAAAAACCCAATTTATACCCAGTCCATTATAAATTGTTAATTATGGGTCATGAGGGTTATAAAGTTTGAGATTTTTGGCCGTGTTTTAAAAGTCTATAAACTATAAAGTTCGGGATTTTTGTTGACGTGGCAGTCTAATAAAAATAAATAAAAAGAATGCCTATAATAATGCTCGAATTCAAGATCTTTTGGACGTATGCATGTGTCTTATCAATAAACCAAGAAATATTCTTTGGATTTAACGTTACTTTAATTTAAAAAATGTATATAATTTACTATATTTTTATAAGTTGGGATTATTCCATTTGATTAACAAAATGTTTATTACAAGTTTTGGATTCAATCTTTTATATATATATAAACGTGATGAATGATGAATTCACTATGAAGATAGAAATGCAATTTGATTTATTCAAAAAATTGTTGCCTTAATTCTTTAATCGACGAATCTCAACAAGTGAATTATTTCATTCATTATGAATTTTAGTTTTGAATGGGATAGACCATATCAAAATTCACAACATTAGTGTTCTTTTAAACAAAAGAAGTATAAATTCTATATATAATATATATTTCACTTTAAATTTGTGTGGGGTGGGTCAAAGCCTACTGTTGCACCCATATAGCTACGCCTCTAAATCATTCATCTTTCTATAACATTACAAGTGAATTATTTCATTCATTATGAATTTTAGTTTTGAATGGGATAGACCATATCAAAATTCACAACATTAGTGTTCTTTTAAACAAAAGAAGTATACATTCTATATATAATATATATTTCACTTTAAATTTGTGTGGGGTGAGTCAAAGCCTACTGTTGCACCCATATAACTACGCCTCTAAATCATTCATCTTTCTATAACATTGCAAGTCTCATAGCACATTTCAGTATGTTGCTATAAATAGTTGTATTTGGAGTTTCATACAAAAGGTTCACATTTATAACCAAAAAAAAAGAAGCTACCATTCTTTACCAATAATATACAACCAAAGATGTATAAACCATACATCTAATATAGGTCCACATGTTTCTCGATTGACCTTCTTACTACATCTTTGTTGTAAATAGGTTAGGCGAGCTTGTTGAGTATCGAGTATTATCCTTTTAGATTTACCCTCATTTTCTATGTAGTGTTATGTTACATAAGAGGTCCTTAGACATGTTCCACCGAAGGTTCTTGGATTGGTTGCTCCTGAAAAGTTTATAAATGAAATCGTAGCTTAGCCATCAAAGGTTTTTATTATTTACAAAAGCGCATATGTTTTAAGATGGAATTAAAATAAAGAATCAAACTAAAATTTAACCCGTGATGTGGCTGCCACATGTATATGAAATCAAGGACAACTAGTAAAAAACATGAGCAATGGTATAATAAAACAAAATAAAAAAGTTGGTGAATTAGATACAATTACAAGTTAGGGACAAGATCAAAAATTATGTTATTGTTACGGTCTATAACTTTTTCCCTAATTATGTACATTGCATTGATTATAGAAATATATTATATAATTAAAGCTGTGTTATCATAAATATATTGTTTTGTCCGCGGTTTACGATGCATGCAAACGAGAGATATCGAGTTTGAGTATTCTCCTCACTATTATTTTCAATTTTTTTATAAGACGCTAACGTGACATGACATCAACAAAAAATGCACAACCAGTGTGAACCGGAAAAAAGCAAAACGAGTGAAATTTAACAACTTGAATAAATACTATGGCGTAATATTGAAAAAAAATTAAGTATTTTGGGTGACACCGTAGTTTCACTTTAAGTAAATCTACGAAGCCGATGATAAAAGGTAAAATAAAATATAAAATTGAAAAGTTGAATGCACATTATGGGGTAAAACCGGATAAAAGAAAACAAAAACGATAAACCGTTAAATAATTGAAAACTTAACGATTTTTCTCAGAATATCCTTGTATATATTAAAAAACTTTCGAAAACACAAAAATATTATTCTCTAATAATTGTAGTTTCGTTATCTAATATTTGTCGTCATCTTACACATTCGATTGGATTTTTCTCAAAACTCATATCGTTATTGGATCTTGATAAAACTTGTTTTTTGTATAAAATCTCTTCAATGCCATCATCTTCATCTCCCTCTAGATGCGTGTGTATTTGCTACACCTTTTTAACTGATACGCTTAACCAGACACATGGTGGCTTTGGTTTGAAAATGTTATACTTTCCTTAACTTTAACCCGGCCCATTATAACCAAACCTTTTAAACCGGTTAAATTCGGGCCCTAAACAACTCCATCACCAGGCCTTTTACAGCACAGTATGCATTAAGCCCGATGAAAAGTTGGCCAACACCTAATATTAAACCATCCTATTGAAACTTGATACACAAACAACAGACTGAATATATACAGACAAATATTATCTCATCATTTAACAAACTTCATTATTTTTAAATAAGTATTTACTTTATGAGGAATGAATGGGAATGGAAGGACCCCTTGTTTATAATATTCGTTTTTTTGTATAAAATATTACGTGAAGGATTTGATGCTCCGAAGATGATTGTGTATTTGTGTAAGAAATTAAAGGTTGGACAAATAAGTCATAAGTGTATTGCACTACGGATTTTGGTAGTTGGAGTTTCAATGTCATTATTCAAGGCTAGAATTCCCCAAAATAGTCTATTTTTGGTCCACAGGAATTTCCAATGCACACATCATTTATTTTCCTTTTAACATTTACTTTTTCATTTTCTTTTTATCCCCCAAAAAAAAATTGATTGATTTATAGTAATTGAAATAGCCAGTGTTGTACCCTACGTAGTACTGTTGGTACATTGGAAGGCACAGAAGAAGGACATTAAAGACCCCAAAAATCTGAAAGGACCAGATCAGACAAGAACCAAAAGCCATCCTTTTATGAAAAAGTACCTTCATTCTATTAATAATTCAATAAATAAACTCTTTACAAAATCATATTACTAAAATTTCAAAGCTAGATTTTTTTATTAGTTTTCATAAGCATTGCCAAAATACACTTCACTCCCTACTTTTGACTTAGCTTACATCTGCACTATGGATAATTACCAAATTATATATATATATATATATTTTTGTAATTGGATATGAAAAACAAAATTGGTACTAAAACAAAGAAAAAACAAAATGGAAATAGATAATATTATAGAAATAAAATATTAATGACCTGTTGTATGGATATTTCCTATTTTGACCTTCGTTTCGAAGGGACTGCTGCTTTTGAGATTGATCTATGAGTCGACGACGACGTCCACCGTACCAACGGCTCCACCACCGAATCTCTGTACTTATACGGCAACACCTGATTCCTCCCTCGCTTTGATTTCACAACCGGCGATGTGTCCTCGAACTCCGCGTACCATTCCGCTTCTGTCGCCGCCGTCCAACATTGCTGCTTCCTTTTCGCTCCTCCTCTTGCCGCCGCCGATGCCTCCACTTGTTTGCTTCTTGCCGCCGGTTTTTTCTCGTCGCCGAGAATCAATTGCGCCGCTTCGATCAACAAACCTAAATATCCTTCATCTCTATGTCCTTCTTCTTTTACTACTGTTACTACTACTTCAGAGGCTCCATTGTAATCGATTCCCGAGCTCTGATCTCCTACATGCGAGATCTCTGAGTGTTCCGTCGCTCTCTCCTCCTCAACCGCCAACTCTGATTCCTCCGCAACAAAGGATTCGCTTTTGCTCCGATCATTCTTCTCGAACACGCAATTTTCATTGTCTACCGTCGTTGGAGCCTCAAAAGGCTCAATCTTCATCGGAGGATGGTCAACAGCAAACCCTTTATTTTCACAAATCTCCTCACGATGGCTTGAACAGTTGTTATCCGTTACATCGACGGTTGGGAAAACGGAAATTATGTTAAGAATCTTGAAGAAGCACATTTGTGCTTTGGAGCAGCGGCGACGACGAGGCTCGGCGGAAAACGACAACGGCAACGATAAGCGTAACTGAGTTGGTTGATTATGCGGTGGAGCCATGGAAGCGACGGCGTAGGGCCAGTTTAATCCGATTAAATTATTCGATGAAGTGTATGATTTGGAAGGAAGATCTGTGACGGCAAAACCCCATGAGAGAGAAAGAGTGTGTAGAGAGAGAAAGAGAGAAAGAGAAGAAACGAAAGACACAGTTGCAATGGATTTTCTGTTAATAGCCCTGTTTTTATGCTTCGCGTTTTACTTTTTTCAGTTTTACTTTCATTTCCTCTTTTTATATTCAACTTCGGAGGTTGTTTTCTTTTGTTACGATCACTAAATA